AGGATGAAACTTAGTCTGTTCGACTTGTCTCGCAAAATTATATACTGAGTTTCAACGTAACGCTATGTACACGGTGCATACGCCGGACAGGGTACCTCAAACCGCGGGCCATCACGGCTCAGTGAACCTCAATGGGACGACATCGTTTCGGTACCAATATCAAAGATCAATGTAACATCAGAAGTGCCAATGTCGCATTTGAAAAATCGCTGTAAATTTGACGATTTGCAGCAACAGTAGAAGTCTGTGGAGGCTATATTCGAAGAACATAACTGCAACGGTAATTGTCATGAGGGGACCAAGTAAAATATTGATTCATATTGCAAGTTAAATGAGACCAATATAAAAAGCCGCCGGCCCTCCATGAAGCACAAACACTTAATTACTATTTCGCAACTCGCCAATTTTTCTCACTGTATGGCAGATTTACAGTTGTTCCTTGCACGATGTATTACACCGCATAGGTTTCGATTATTGTTGTGGTACTGGCGGAGCAAAACGATGCGCTACATTGAACGGGCACTCCGCTGTCGATTGATCAAATCTGCAGAGCTGATGAGCAGCCTCGTCAGCAACACCTCAGGCTTGCATTTATGCACTGTCATCAAACAGCAATGTGGCAAACAGTAGTAATTTACTGGGCACGTAGATCCGATTGATTAAGGATCATTCCTCCAAACATTGAAGAGAGGGGATCGACTACAGTGGCTATCAACAATATCATCGACGACGAACTAGTCGAAATGACCACACTTGACGGTGACACTCGATATTTTGCAAGAAATATGCGGTGCTCACTGTGACACTGACTGATGTACGTAATACCTGCAACCGCTGAATCATCAAAACGACAATAGTCTCATTTCAGCGGTAGCAATCACTTGGAATTGGCCGTGCCGTTGAGCAATGTAAAAAGAAAATCTGCATTAGTACAATCGTAAGTGGAAGAGTAAAACAATCAATATAAATGCGATCCCGTTACAACGTCGTGACGGGTCCTTGACCTTGACAATATCTCACGTGCTGTACTCGGTTACAGCAATAAGCATTCAGTCCCAACGACTTCGGGACCCGAAAGCTATAGACACAACGCCGTCAAGAATGCCTTTTGTGTAACGAAGCAACGATTTCGTAGTCAAAGAAAGCAACACGCCAAAATGGAACAAAACATCAGATCCGGTAGATCATAAAGATAATAAGCAAATGGATTCACCGTTTTGTCACGTCAGTCGTGAAGTATGTTGCTGTAAACTATATTGAGTGTCCGGCTTGTGTTATTCGGAACACACATACATATTTCAATGTTTTCAACACTGGTACACCTCAATAATGCAACATACAGTTGACCATGCGAGAATACTGGGCTTGGTAAAAAAACCACAACATTGTCCAAGCTCTGACCTTGAGATTTATTAATAGTCATACAAAATGCCGGTGCAACCGGATACTGGTAACGATAAAATGGTAAAGGGCATGTAGAATTGCCAGCGTGCTGGAGATTTATTCTTGGAATTGTTACCCGCTTTCCTTTCTTTGAGCCCGTAATGATCCTGCACATCAGATAATGCCTGGCGACATGCGTAATGAGCATTCTGGTGCCATTGCATAAACCTTGCTTCAGGTTCAAGTTGCGTAACAGTATAATAGGCATCCCGGCTTTCATATGCAGTTCGTGGACTGGAAAATTTGGAACAGAGAAGGAATTGAGGATCTCGGGCGTTAGCGGTTCACACGTAGTCGAGTCGTTGTTTGTGTCAATAGAATACGAAATAAATTCATCACCCTCGACCTTGTGTAATATTTCGTCATTAATAGATGCAACAGACCTGTTGAGTGGCGTAATGATGCAGCGCTCTGCGTAGAATGAAGCCAATGCGTCCCAATCCGCTCGCCGGACCAATGCATTTGTCTTAGAATATAGCTTAAGTGTGATACGTTTGTCAAAAATCTTAGTCTCCGGAATGCATTTCACCTGTGGCTACCCGACACTTCGGATAATAACCGAAGGAAAATGTGTCATTTCCATCGGCGATAAGCCGAAGAGCCCCCTTCCGACACGCCGACGCGCCTGCCGCGTCGGCGGCTGAAGAAAATTTTCAACTTTAACACCCTGAGAAACACCAAAACACCGCTCTAACACCTTTCTACACCATATTTACAAAGAAGAAAACACTGATTTAGCTGAATGAAGGACATAGAAATGTCTTATAACCCATCAAAGACTTGCAAGTCCATCCATGCGTAACTTGGAATTATCATGTGGGAATAGAGTCCCAAATGTGGGACATAAGATTCCACATGTGGGACGTGAGATCACATGTGAGGGAAATCACATATCTCATGTGGGACATACAGTCCCACATGTGGAACTTGGGACCATCATGTGTGAACAGAGTCTCACATTGGGAACATAAGATCCCACATGTGGAACGTCAGATCCCACATGTGGAAAATTCGATATCTCATGTGGGACGTACATACAGTTCCACATGTGGGATTGATGTCCCACAGTAGTAATTCAATGTTGTAGTGATTCAAAGTCACACATGTGAGACCCTGGATTTCCCATGTGGAACTTTGATTTTTCCGCTGAGATACCCCATGTGGGACGTAAGATCACGCATGTGGGACTTCGTCTTTCTCATGTGGGACTTTGTATCTCTCACGTGGGACTTACCATCACGCATGTGGGATGCAAGGTCACTCATGTGGGACTTTGTATTTCCCCTGTGGGACATATAATCCCACATGTGGGACTTTGTATCTCTCATGTGGGACGTACAAACACGCATGTGAGACTTTGTATCACTCATGTGGGATGTAAGATAACTCATGTGGGACGCAAGGTTCCTCATGTGGGACTTCGTCTTTCTCATGTGGGACTTTGTCTTTCTCATGTGGGACACAAGGTCACCCATGTGGGACTTTGTATCCCTCATGTGGGACACAAAGTTCCTCATGTGGGAAATTGTATGTCTCATGTGGGACATATAATCCCACATGTGCACTATTCTCTATGTGCGTAGTGTGGGAATCTTACATCCCACATGTGATCTTGCATCCCACATGTGGGATGCAAGATCCCTCATGTGGGATGCAAGATTACTCATGTGGGACATAATATTACGCATCAAAAGTCAATAGACAAGGGTCAAGTTATACATTTTTTCTCAGCTTAAACCCAAATCCTCATCATCATCATCATCAAGTATGAACAGTTGATCCACCCTTCCATTCAGCTGACCAATTTCATCCTCACGAAGGAGCATCTCTTGCTCAAATTCTTCCAATTCATCCAAAGGTGTCGACTGTATATGTTTAGCTTTGACAATACCCTCCCACGTTGACTGACCTCTGGCAACCAAACCCTCCCAGCGCTGGATCAGTAGGTTGATTTCTTCACGTGTGGCTTTGGTGTGTTGATAGGTTTTTCGTAAGACTTCCACAATATTTGAGCTCCACATCATCCATTTCCTACAATGCTGTTGACGCAGATTGTTATGAAGCGCCCCTAAGACTCCTATATTTACCTCCCACACATCTTTTGAAATACGTTGACCAGCCTGGACCAAATTAATCAGTTCTCTCCCACCATCTTCAGTATTATAATCTAATGTCAAAAAATGAAGAATCTTGTAAGAAAGCGTCGAAGCATCATCAGAACAACCCAAGCTTACCACTACTAGACAATGCAAGCAACCCATCTAGCTTCTCTTCAATCTTTAGAGTCTGGTAAACCATCTGCTGAGCCTCTCTTCCAGTCCTCCGAAGCTCTTCCACACAACTCCGCTGCTTCAAGAATGCTTGTATACCCTCAATGGTACCCACATCTACCGCCCACTTCTCAGTAGGATGGGTAAGCGCCCCCACATTCCAGAAGATATCTTCAACAGGTAGTCTCTTTGCATCATCAAGTGAAGGACAAGCCATATTTGTGCGAGGAGTTATTGAGTTGTAAGTGGTCACTTGAGATTCGTAAGATGTCCATTTCCTCCTAAACATCAATTGTTTCTTGGTCATAAGTTTCTTCATCCCCTGTTGGGCTTTCGTCCCTGGAAAGAGTGAAGAAGAAGTAAATGATAAAGGAGTTAATACAAATGAGTGAAATAGACCTACCTTCCACCTCCTTATCCCACTTTTTCTGCGCCTCCACAATTCCCACTTTGGCTTCATAAAGCTTCATTTTAGCTAGCCGAACACTTATCAGAGCTACAGCTTTTGGACCTGGCAAAGCAAGAGCAAGACAGGAATTCAGTGGATTGCATTTATTTCCTCAATGATCCAAAATGACTCACTAGTAGCTTGGCGAAGCCGCGTAAACTCTTCACTTCCCAACTCTTCTGTAACATCCTGAATTGCTGTCTCAAGTGCCACAATTGATGCCGGCAAGGTTAGAGTTGCAGCAATATCCTCATCTGTCCGGTTCCTTCTACGTTTCCTTTGCAGCCTCTTGAGCTCTTCACTGGAAAGACAAAGAAGTAAATCAAACAATCCAATGCGTCATCAATATCATGACATTGAACTTTACGTACTGAGCATGCTTCACTTCCTCTTGCAACTCAAGGAGTTCTAGAAGGCATTGTTCCATCCGCTCTTGAGTCTCAGCAGCATTGTCTGCCATTGCAGTAAGCTGACACCGCTTCTGTCGCTCCCACTGCGAGGAGAAGTATTCCAAAGTATATGATTCATCTTGAGCCTGCAATCTAAGAAGAGTCTTAGAAGCCACCTCCAATCGGTCTTCAGCTATCTTGACTTTGGACTCTATTGACCTCGCTGAACACAATATAAACTTGTCATTTGGAAGCCTTCTATATTACGATGGTAATCAGTTAAACATACCTGCATTTCTACAACGAACCTCATTTCCATGACTAGACTTCAAGTCTATAGCATCAACTCGGTGTTGTTTTGTGGCACATCGATTTGCCGCTATCAATGGATCATTATCGCTCCAAATTCTCTCATTTCCTTCCCCGTCTGTCAAACCCCATCCCTTGTTCAGCCTGGGATTATATTTCAGTTGACACGTCCATTCATGCGCATATGCATGCCAAGCACTGGTTGCAAATCTAAGATCACCTCCTCGTTCCTCTCCAAAATATTTATTCTGTATATTCAACATTTCTTCGTTAGAGTCAAAGGAGAAGAAATTTGATGATAAAAGACTTCACTTCACCTTTCTTACACTTTTCTCTAACGTACAACCAATGTCATATAATACACCCACCGTTTTTGAAGGTTTTCCCGGCTCTGATACATCATTCATGAATTGATCCAGCAGTGCTAGGACATAATACTGACTATGAAATCAAGAAAGTTCTTATTTTAGCAAATATTTGCTAAATCAAGATTGGGCATGCAAAACTGACCGCTCTCCACTCTGGATCACATTCACAAACTTAAGGACATGATCATGTCGACAAGCAAGTCCAATCAACCCTGTTTCGTCACATCCCTTCCAAGTGGAGGATCCTCGACGATCTGCAGCAGCAGTGTGACTGGCTGTACACCGATCCTACCAAACAAACCAAGGGAGTGATCAGATCAAGCTACTTCTCGAATTTTTCCACATGTGGGAATCTGATTCCCACATGTGTGATCTCCATGAAGTAGCTTGATCTGATCACTCCCTTGGTTTGTTTGGTAGGATCGGTGTACAGCCAGTCACACTGCTGCTGCAGATCGTCGAGGATCCTCCACTTGGAAGGGATGATTCTTTCCCACCCATGTGGGATCACATGTGGGATTCTGCATACACATTGGGGGGTCCTCAGAGTCGCCTGCAGCAGCAAGCTGAGTGCCGTCTGAAAATAACTTGAATCACGCCTTTTTTTTCTTTT